GAGAGCTTCCAAAATATCTTCTTTCGTCCAATATCATGTTATCTGCACCAAAAGCAGACTCAGATGTCATTGTTGAGACTGGAACTGTTAGTATATCTCGTGCCATTTTAGATAATACAGGGTATGTCTGCTCATTTAATTTTCACTATCGTAAAGTGTCTAAATTATCCACTTCATTTTCAGGTATTAAACTATAATGATCAAATTGATAATATATTTCTAATTCAGAATGTATGGTATTTGAATTTGTAGTTGAAGTTGTAGATGAACCAAAAACATTACGTTTTTTAGCTATTATGGAAAAAAAAAGATTTGCCTTTAGAAGTTGTAATAGAGCTATTATACTTAGAATCCCTCTTTTTTTTTCAAATTTTTAAAATTTTTTTTTTCATGGGCCAGTGGGTTACCGCGGCCCGTGAAGGTGCGACCGGCGAAACCGGGCCGCGATAACCCGTGGGTCACACCTCATTGACCCGTGAACCACCCGCTCGGGTCACGGGTCGGCCCGGGTCGATCCAGGCCGATTTTCACGGGTCTGACCGGCCCGTCCGTCTTGACACCTCTAGAGGGGTTCAATGAATTCTGATATAGAATTTCATGCAGTTAGTTAGAGAAACTTGTAATTGTAAGATAATTTTTTTATTTGTTTCTTGACTAATTGTGTTGCGGCTTGCTTAACATAGCTTTAATAAAAGTAAGTTAACTAAGTTTTGTCACAAAGAAATAATTTTAAAAATCACGGCAAAAAGTTTGGCTTACTTGATGTTGAATTGGAACAGTGGCAGATTTAGAAATTTTAGGCTTTTTTGTTTGAATAATGCTGGAAGTACAGGATGGTATTTACATGAAGCTTACAGGATTTTAAAAAATTGATCACGTGGCAGTTTCCAAAAAAAAATCAATTAGGAAAGTAAAAGTAAAGGAAAGCGAGGGAAAACATACCTTCCTCCCACAATTTCACGCCTCCCACACCTCCATTTTCCCGTTCCAAAACTTTGAATTCAGTGGTTGCCGGCTCCGAATCCGGCGTACTTTCAATTGGTAAACATAAATAGTAATCGGCGGACGCACTCCAAGACCTCCATTATCAGCGTTTAAACCTTCATTTTCATTCGTTACCGGCTCCGAAACCGCCTCTTTCTCCCACAAGTTCACGCGTCCCAGACCTCGATTTTCAGTCGGCTCAAAACCTTCACCTTGCATGGTTGCCGGCTCCGAATCTAGCGTACCGCCTGAAAATAGAAATAGGCTCTTCATCCCCATTTCG